AGTCCTCCTCTGTGCTTTGACTGCAGCCGGCTGGAGCAAAGGGGGCTGGCCCCGATTTGACATAGGCAAACACACACACACACACACACACAGTTCACACACATATATGAGAAGGGAAAGGCAGACGATTACATTGTTATTCATGTTTGCACGGCGCGTATCGTAGATACATATTTCACGTACACAGTGCAGGCTTTTTTGGGGGGTTTTGTTTCGCGTCTTGTGTGTGTGTGTGTGTGTGTGTGTGTGTGATGCACGTGCGACCTCCCGCACACAGCGGCATCTGAATATTAAAGCCTCGTCTGTACCAGCAACGGGAAGAGGAGGGGAGAGAGAGAGAGAAAATTACGGCATATATCAGGAATTTTCCAGCTAATGATGTGCGGATGTGGTAGCACTGGGGAGAGAGAGCCCCTGACTGTGCTGTCTTTGTTTCGCTCGCCGAGGGCCCCATGCAGCATTCCTGTACACTGTGCATACTTTGGCAGCAGTTGTAGTGCCCCCCTTTTTTTTTTCGTGTTTTACTGTATACAGTTCTCACAAGGCTTGTCGCTCTGTGCTCCCCCCACCCCCCCTCCCACCCCCCACCCCCTCCCGGGTCTATTCTTTTGAAAATCCTGTTTCTCCTCGTCCTTGTCTCCTTCCTGGGCCCGTCGCTGTGGACCGTAAATTGTCCTTTTCGCAGCACGAGAGAAGGAACGAGAGGGAAAGTGAGGGAGGAGTGACATAATGCTGTTTACAACATGGCTGACTGCTAAAGCTCCGGATGGGCCTCTCCGGAGACGCAGCGTTACAGCCTCAGCTCCACAGTGCATAGTTCTGTTCACATTATCATTACTATAACATCCGTTCCCCTGTGTCCCATGTGGGCTTTGCCTATACACTCCGGAGACGTACCGAGGAAGACTTTAGTTTGTGACGGGTCGCTTTAGTCAATCTAATGGAACTGTTGCTCCAGACTTACATGCTATTCAGCAATTAGCGAAACCTCCACTGCTGCTCTTAATCACCATTATAATTTGGTCTCTCCGAAGTTCTTGTCTGTTTAGTGCGCACAGATTTTTAGTCGGTATGTGTCTTTGTGTGCTCTGGTGCTCTTTCATCCTGGGCTTCATCAGTGAGAGGGAATGTAAACACGGGCCCCCGGCCAAGCTCCATCAGCCCCAGCACCTCTGGCCCCGGCCGCCTTAAGCCCCGGCCTCATCCCCGTGGCATCAGGTCGCTTTGCGAAGTCCACGTGCAGAGTGACGGGGCAGCGTTTCAGGCAGCGGTGGCGGGGGTTGAAAGGGTGGAGGGATGAAGAATGGACCTTCCTGTCCCCTTTACTCAGGCAACCTGGGTATTATTTTTAGTTTTTAGTTTTTCTGGGCCATCATTTCACTGGGTAATACATATACCTTAGTGTTATTTTATGTATACATTTTTGACAAGCACATCATGCCTCCACCACCCCATTGTCACACTCCGCCGCTGTGCGTGCACAGTGTGCTGTGGCGGTGCGCGTCAAATTTGGAGATCTGGCCAAGAGGTCAGGAGGTCCTCAGGGGCAGGGGAAGCCATTTCCTCCTGAAGGGATCAGCAGTGAAGAGGAGGAGGAGGAGGGTGCTGCTGCTGAGGGGGAGGATGCTCTCAGCAGAAAGGAATTCCCAGCATGTTGTCCTTATAATCTGGAGTCAGCTTCACACACTGTCGGTCTCTCTCTCTCTCTCTCTCTCTCTCTCTCTAACGCCTCTCTTATATTCCTCCCTTTATCTGACCCCCTTTGGCTTTTCTGTTGCCATGCGGAAGGAGAGAAGGGTGTCAGATAGGCAGAGACGGCTTGAAAATTCAAAGCAGCTGACCGAAGAGCAAAACACTGTATTGCAGTTAAGGGCTGACTCACTCTCTCGTGCCTGATTGTCCCACATACTGTGTGTGTGTGTGTGTGTGTGTGTGTGTGTGTGTGTCTCTCTCTGTTTTCATGCGGCCTGTACAGAAGAGGGAGAGCAGGAGTGGATAATGAAGGGAGATGTGAAGCAGAACAGAGAATGAGAAGGGTGAGAAAGAGCCGGAGGAAGAAGGAATGCAAACGTGGCCAGAAGGAGAGGAGTGAAGAGGACATTAGAAAGTTCAGAACCACGTTGCGATACGGGAATGTTTCTTTTTGCAACAGTCGCAGAACAGACCTTTTTGTAAGAGCATTAGTTTTGACTTTAAGTAGAGTAGACTTGAGACTTGAAACTGTGTGTTTAAAAAATGCATTCATGGATATTACAGGCTTTCCAACGGTTGTATAAAGACTTTACTGCATTTCAGTGTTTTACAGACTCACAGGCTCGCAGAAACAGGCGCAGAGCGACAGGGAGTTAATAGAGCTAGAGGAGGGTGATTTTTTGTTTGGAAATAGGTTCAGTAGATTACGTGGAACCTTTCCAAAAATGAAAGTTTATATTCGTGGTCCTTATTTTTGTGCACCGCACGCTTTCATTCGTGCAAACGCTTCTGTGACGCATGATCATTCAGAGCCGGTGACCAAACAGACTTTCAAAATGATAATTCAAAAATAACTGTTAAAGCGCAATAAAATAATTGTTCGGCATTAATTAATTAATGCCCAATAAAGCATTAACTTTCCCACACCGAGTCTTAATGTCTTAACCTTTTTAAATGCTTGTAGCCTATAGATGAACTGGGGGACTTTTTTTTCAGCAGCAGCAGTAGAGAAATGTTTACACACCGTGTGTCTGGGTGCATGAATGTGTGATACAAGCCTTAATCTGCAGTTGCGGCCGGGTTTTCGAGTAACTCTGCCTTGGAGTGGGGCGGATGTACCCCGAGCTCGAGCTCTGTGGTTCTTCCTAGAAGGCTCTCTGCGCGCATTTGTCTTCAACCCTGCCTTGACTTCTGATTCTGCAGGTCTGCTGTCTCCATGCAGCTGACAGAAGTCGCATCGATTTGAGCCTGCAGCTGCATGTGATAGAGGAGGATGTTGATGAGGAGCATTCGCAACTTATCCATCCATCCACATTTTTTAATGTTTTACTGGTTGATAGGGAGAAGCAAGGAAGATTTTCAGAGAACCTGAAATAATAGCATGTTCGAAACCAATTCCTGCAAAATTACATTGCAGCCTTTTCCTACCTTGAAGACACGTAAGCAAACCTTTTGTTTGAGCAGCTCTGCAGCTTTCATTCATGCTTTTTCTTTGTTCTTAAAACCTTGAACCACTGACTGCCAGGGTCATTGGTTCAATCAGTTCATTCTGAGCGTATGTCTCATATCTGGTCACGTACTTAGCTGACACATCTCAGCCAACTAGCCTCAACTTCCTTGCTGTTTCCACTGAAGCAGGAAGCAGGAGACAAGAAAGTATCACACATCTGCAAAATGCTGCCCCGGCTCTATTAATAGTTCCATTCAGTTTAGAAGAAAGTAATGTGACCGGACTCTTTATTCCTCTTATCAGTCTCTGTTGACTGCCTTGCTGAAGAATTTCAGCACGAGATGCCCAAAACTTCAGCTGCAATTCTGAATAATGCCCCTCTTTTGTAATGGAGTTCTTCTTATGAGTGGGTTATTAAGTATTGCCAAGCCACCAAACTAAAATCATCTCTGTGAGGCTGCTCCACTTAGACATGTTGGTGCTTTGAGCTAAATGCTAACATCGGCACGCTGCGGTGCTCACAGTCACAGCGCCAAGCAGCTGATATGTACGTGGTGCATTGGAAGCAGAGCGTTGGCTGATCAGTAGTTTTGGAAATGTTTGGTCATAAACCAAATAGTCGTACAAAAATAACTGTTGACACTTTTGAAAAAGTTAACGATTTATCATCTGGGCATCATGAATATCTGTGACGACATCCAGGCCGGTTGTTTTTGATGCATCTGGAACAAAGTGGTGGACCGACCGAAAGGACAGTCACGCTGCTGGCACGGCTACAACACAAGCCAATGGAAATGACATTAGGCAGGGATGAACAAGTGCACTTACAGGGAGGAAGTGAAGGGAGGAAAATCACTGGGAGGTGTGTTACTAAAATAGACCTCCCCCAGTGAAGGAAATCTAGTCCAAAAGTATACAAACCATGACTGCTTAGTCTTGAGTCATTTCTCAGAGGGCACTTGAGCACTAGTTCATATTTGGCTAGCTCCATCGTTCCAAGATCATTGCACTTAGGTTGCACACACACACACACACACACAGGCCTGTGGGCGACATCTAAAAGCCCTGCGGCGTCCTCCCACGGAGAGAGTGCAATAAAGATATCTAGGTGACATCGCACTCGTCTCGCTTCCAAAACATTTGCCTCAGACTCTGAGATCCCGATAAGCACTCCGCAGGGCCTTTTGGGAGGAACCGCGGCCAAAAGCTGTTGGAAAAATGTGGAGTTCAGGAAAGCACCTGGAACCAGTCCACTCTCCTTCTAGGGGTCACTGAGTTTTGTCTGGAGGCTTTCCGTACTGTAGCTGTTAACAATGCTGCTGCTTTCCTGCAGGCTATGGCTACACACACACACACACACACACTCACTCAGAGCTCTCAATAGAGTTACAGGGACACATTTGGAAACCGGGCTTGGTGTGAAGGGGCACAAAATGGCTGCTGTAATACCTCAGGTGGGTGCAGGGTTGACCGGAGGGGCGGTGTTAACACTTAATGTACGCGAGACATCTGCTCAGGTTTAATCAACCGAAACATTGTAATCGTTGGTTACAAGTACCACTGACTGTCAGATTGCCGTGGAAAGAGTGTGCGATGTGTGGGAGCTGGGAGATGTCTACTGCCAGATATGACTTCATGTCTTATGTAAGCTTAAGATGAGGGTGGAGAAGCACTAACGCTGCGTGTGTGTGCATGCAAGTGTGAACTCAATCGTGGTGACATCTGCTTAATGATACTGACAGCTACATGTGAAAAACAGGAAGCATTTGAATAGTTTCTTTTTACTTGTTTGTTTTGTTTAATTTTTTCACTTTGTGTGTCTGTGCATGTTTAACCTCCTTGATGCTGTGTGTTGTAGGTGGTGACCCTGTGGTACAGAGCCCCAGAGGTGCTGCTCCAGTCCAGTTACGCCACACCGGTGGACCTGTGGAGCGTCGGCTGCATCTTCGCCGAGATGTTCAGGAGAAGGTGAGAGCAACGAGCGTTCCGGCGATGGGGCCTTAAACACGACATAATAGTGCAAGACGAACTCATGTCGGGGGACATTATGTCGACATGCATGCACGCAAACAAAGTAATCGGATTGAGATGGTAGTTTGATGTAACCGTTTCATCAGATAGATTTAATATGTTCTGCTTGTTATCAGTTCAGACGACAGTATTTTTCCTCTAAAATGTCACGGCCATACGATTCCATGGAAGGACCAGGAATGATTACACTGCACCACTGTTACATTTGACAACTACATAGTCAAGAAAAAACGGAGGGATTCAAGTCAGCGACCTCGCTGGTCCAAAGATGTCACGTCAGCACCTAAAACCACACACACGCACGGCTTCCATTGACGGCGGTATTCTATCCTGATATACAGACTAGATGAACGTTGTTTTCAAGGGTCCTCATTTAGTCCAAAATGTAGCCGCAGGTGGTGACAAATGGATCCTGTCTAACTTAATTTTAGTCGGTGAAGATTTGAAGAATTTCAGAAGCACGTCATTCCCTCTTTTCTCGCTCACGGACATGCAACAGCACGAGATCTTTGCCACATGCAGGCCAACCCCGCCGTATACCGCCGTCGTGCTCTTATCATAGCTCAATCTCTGGTTGTCAGCGTTAGTGTGAACAGTATTGCTGAACTGACATTGCATTGGGTGTCACCGTTTGTCTTGAAGTTGTCGTACGCCAGGAGAAGAAGGTTTACTAAAACCGTTAACTCGTCTTGTTTGCAGAAAACCCAATTTACAGCAGTGTAAATCTTATCAGTGAGGTGCATTAAACCGAGGTCAGGTCTTACTCGCCACACCATCACCGGGCCAACGGTTCAGGCCGTCATATGGATTACAAGATGCTTTCCCGTGGTTCCCCATGGTTACTGTTCAACAGATTATGATCAGGGACGTGTGTGATCTGTATGCACACACCCGCCCGAGTCTCTGCACAGAGGCAAGAGGGGGTTTCACTGTCTTTATCTGAGCTTTAACCCACAACCCAAAAATGTACATGCTGTCTGCAGCTCCAGGGGGTTTCTATTACTTCGGCTTAAATAACCTCCTGGACTCACAGAGAGGGGGGGTGTTCAAAGGTCAGGGCCACCTTGACTGCAGAACAAGAACAACAAAGAGTAACAGTGTTACGTCAATTTGGTCTGTGTCCCTTTGTCACAGACGGCAAATGAGCTTCTAGGGCCTTCGACATCCTCTCCGCTTAGACCCCAGACTCCCAGGGACTTTATCTTTTCCTTCTTCAATCCGCCACAGCTCTCTTCGGGGTGAACGCTCCGTATCCGAGTCCAGTCCAGATTGTTATAGATACTAGAAGGTACGCGGGGTCCACAAGTGTGACACCTTCCTCTTCACGTCCTCTCCCTGGACGACAGCCGGGACAGAGAGCCTCCTTTTCCTCCCGTAGTCCACAAAAGATTTAGGTGTGCTGATGATTTGCCTCAGTTGATTGCATTTGGCCCCGTCACAATAGGGAGTGTATATAAAGAAGTGGAGGCAGTGATGTCACCCATTGTTGCTTTCTTCCGGACTGAAGTTGTGAAGCCTTGAGTTGTCATTTTGACATGTTGTTCTTTTGGGACGAGAAGCGACACGGGCGCGTACAACTCTACCGAACACTGAATAAGACATTTTCAAGCGACACTAAAATGTTTCAATTATTCCGGAATGTACTACACTGCAGTAGTGACCTGTCAATCGCAAGATGGCCACGCCCAACAGCGTACCCTGCTTTGGTCTGTTTAAATGAACTCTTAATAAATTGACATTAAGTTAATGATCTCAATCACTAATTTCAAGTCTTCCTCAATACATCAAATGTTTACTGAGGTAGTGACTTTCCTAAAGACTTAACCGTATGCACACATCAACCATATCTTTGCAAGTCATTTGAGAAAATACAATTTTGAAACACGTTTGCTTCATTTATCAGAGCGGTAAGTTGCTGCCCGCGTAAGACAAAGTTCTCCATCAGTCCCCTGTACTCCGCTCGATCACACGTGAATACAGGGATCACTTCCATTTTGCCCATGAACACATTCAATACTTTTTAGCAAATTCCTTCAAAGCCTTCACTACACAATGAGTGGGAACGCGGCCACATTGTTGACGGCCGGGTTCCAGTCGATTACACATCTAACTGCAGTTAGATGTTTAATCGACAGAAACCTGCTGCCGTCGTTGGGGGGGGGATCAGTTATTTGGGTGTTTCTTAAACGTTTGCGCAAAATGGCACCTGTCAGATGCGCTGTGAGCAGTGAGCAATCACATTTCGGTTGACTTATCAAACCATTACAGAAATGACAGGCCGGCTGCTGTGGTTGCAGCACGTAAGTCAAGATCCTGCTTCTTGGTCTGGGTATTTTTTCAGTTTGTGGTCGAACAAACTGCACTGCAAACGAATAAAGGGCCCCTTTTCTAAAAAGGAAAGAAAATATGTTCAACTGCCTGTCTAGCGAAGGAAATGCTATTTTTGCGTGGCAGTACACTCACATGAATATATTTATGTACGTGTCTTCTAATGCAACAGTACGCCCGACTGCAGTGGTGTGTCTCGGAGCAGATAAGAACAGTCGTTCTGAGGTAGGGCTGAGTGCCAGGAGGAGCAGCCCTGCCTGTAATTCATGCTTCCTTCCCCAACCGTCCTCACAACCCCCCGCGTGCACTGCCTCGTGCAACAACTCTGCACGTGGGACTTTGTGGGCATAGAAAGGCTCCGGTGGCAAATGGTGACTCGGTATGAAGCAACTTATGTAGACTATGTGACAAATGCACAAGAGGAGAGGTACAAGGAAGCGAGAGGCTTCTGCATACGGGGAAGGCGGCGGCTGAACGGTTTCGTGGTTGATTGACAGAGCTGCGGTGTTGCATTGGGCCCGGGGAAGGGTTTGCTGTGGCATTGGCAGTTACCCGTTGTGGACCGACATGTTGGGAACCACCACCAGGGCAAGAAGCCTCCCGGCCACTAGAGGCAATAACATTCTTTCATGTACTGTTGTCTATCATTCCATGTACTGTTACTTTTGGACTTGGGGCTATTCAGCTTATTAATTTATTTTCAGATAAATGGAAAAAAAAGGACGAACTAACGTGGGAGGGGGGTGGGGGGGGGGTCTGCTTCATTCGTGGTGAGCTGCTTTTAGAAAGACCTTATTAAAGATCTGGCATCTCAATAGAGAATATTTCAGAAGTATGACACCCGAGTTGAGCCTTTGAATTAATCAACCCCGTCAAGCACACGGATGATGTAACATGTACAGTTATGCATTACGTGCAGGGGATATAGTGTTAAGACCAGGTCCAATTAGATAGCACTGAGGGGTGTGTGTGTGTGTGCAAGTTGGCCAGGTTGAGGTACTTCTTACCTCCCCCTGACACAATAAGCTGTAAAAAGCTTTGCTGTGGATATGTGTGTGTTTTTCGCAATCTGGCACCTGTCCCACTTTGCCTTAAGGCGGAAGGCAGGGCAGAGCCCTTTGATGCCAACGAACACAAAATACACTCTCTCGCTCTCTCCCTCTCTGGAGGTGATTAAGATGGCTTTTTAAAAGGCCACCTGTTGGAGATTAAAGGGCACCTGGGAGCAACAGTGAAGACTAAAAAAAAACGTGTGATCGAGGGAAAGGGCAGAACCAGGGAGGATGAGAAAACACTGTTTATTTGCAGTTATCTCCACTGCTGATTTAAATTGCCTATACAAATGGGTGGCATCTTATTCTAATGTTTATCTTTCTGTGAATGAACGAGTACATCAGCTCAGAAAATGTGTCGATTCATCCGCTGGTCGGTCCATATTTATGTTCTTTATCTTGAATAAAAAACAGAGCGGTTTGAGGACATTACCTTGAAAGTTTGCTCTTTGTATAATTACCATTAGCATTAGTTAAAGTCCCACTGGGAAGTGACTGCTCAACTCCCCCTATAACCTTATGTTGCAGGCTATAACAGTGCACATCCAACCTCAGAATATCTGCTTTATGACTCCTGGAACTTCAAAGCTTCTCCCCTCCGAAAGCCGCCTCCTCTCTCCACTTCCATTATCAAACATGCAATTGCAACAAAAGGAACCTCCTTTAATGACTGAGAAGAGTTGGCAACGGGTTCTCAGGAATTTGAGCAAATATCATACAAGTCTGCATCTGCGTGGCTGGCCTAGTCGGGGTGAGTCACGGTTCAAGTGAACGGGGGAGAGAGCGCCTGCTTGTTGACATTCCTCCAATCGAAAAGGTTGAACGCGTGTTGTGTCAATGGTCTGGGATAGGCCTCGCATCCGTGTGGGACGTTCTCACCGGTTTGAAAAGGTCGATGAATCCCCAAAGAGACAAACGCACGGCCACTTATGCAGGCGGTCCAAACCCGGACGGACCGGACGTATTCGAGCAACTTGCAGTGTGTGACGGATCCCGAACGCCCTCCAGCACACACTTGGTTTCTCTCCCTGCGTCTTTCCACCGGGTCAGAGGGACGCTCTCTCACGCGCAAACACGCACACAAGCGCATTCCAGAGGTTGTTTCGGCGGAATGTGGGACAGAGCCGAGCTGGCACTAAAGGAAGCGTGACTCAGCTGCCTGTCCCAACCCAGTCTCTGTCCACCCACCCTTTCCCCCCGTCTTGTATTGGTGTAGATACGTATGTGCACGCGCAATGCCAAGTGTCGGGTACCTTCTCTTCTTTGGGTCTTTAGTGCATCCCGTTTCTCGCGTGGAGCAATTTGATTGTCTGCAAATGTGACTGTTGTTGTCATGTGCTTGCAGGACAGTGGTGAGCGCAATGAGTTATCCTCATCCAACAAGCCACTCCAGGTTTAAAAATGGACCTCTTGGAATTATCAGACCTACTTGTTCTGGCACGATGACTTTGCTGTAGGTGATTTTTTTTTTCTCCTTCTTTTGCAACACTCAGAACTGGTTTGGTTTGATCTTGAATGGCTTTCAAACCTCAGATTATCTGGAAAGACCCACGCAGTGCGTTCCTCTTTCAGTTGGATTTGTTTGAAGCGAGAGTTCAAGAGAAAAACTGAGACATCCATTGGTCCGGGATGCAAGTTGCGAATAACTGAAACAAACATGTATCTGGAGTCCACTTCCGAACCAAAGCATGTGACCGAGAGTTTGCAGGCACTGTAGAAATGTGCAAAATGCCCTGTGTGACTAATTTCCCAGTGTCCCAGTCCGTAGGAAAACGTGGGTGTTGCGCTATGCAAAGCTTCCTGCCAGTGGGAAAACGCCGGGAGCCCATGGTGGCCAGCTTTTGACTTTGAGTGGGGCGCACTTGAAGGGCCTTTTGTGCCTTTAATACAGGACGCAAACGCACCTTTATGACAGTACCCTGCGTTACATTGACATCTGCTGGCGACGAATCGCTTCAAACAAGTCGAATGCGACGGAAGGAAAGCTCTTCTGACTGCGCAGCCTTTCATACTGTCAACTTTGGAAGCAACGCATTTAGAAAGTCGCCCTCGCGCGCCGCGAGTAATGCGAGCGGAAATTCTTCTCCCCGAAAGCGGCTCGTTCTCATTTCCTGTCGGAGGAACTTCGGGTCTCGCTCCCATACGTCTTTCTGTTAGAATAACCCAAAGTTCTCCCCCCCCTCCCACTTTCCGTCACACGTTCACACACCGAGAGAGCGAAAGCAGACGCACATGAGGGATAAATAGACTTTCTTATGGGGCGGTGCGGCGGCTGGCCTGCTTGTGCTGATGATGACTGCTGGAATTCCTGCGGGTGCCAGAGCAGGCGCGGCGGCCCACGGGCCTCCGAAGAGGGCCCAAAGCCGCAGGAACCAGCAGCAGCCCTGCTGCCGCTCCCCTCCCTGCTTTCACCCCCCCCCCCCCCTTCTTCGTCAGTGGCACTACCAGCAACGCTCAACAACCCCGGCTGCATGAGCTGGAGCCAGTGTGTGGTTACTTCAAACGCTCACATCGGAGTCAAACATTCTTCGTTGCCTCGAGCCAGTGGCTTTTTTTTCTCGATGAGCCGTTTGTCTGCAGTATGTACCGTGGGATAAGGAGCATTGGGGCTCACGTCTGAAGGTCAACAGGAACATGATTAGTGCTGGACGAACGTGCATTAAAACGTTTCGCGTGCAACACGATATTTGATCTCAATGTAGCAACGGTGGAACTGAGCTGGTGTTTGTTTTCTTTCTCCCCCCCCAGACCGCTTTTTCGAGGAAACTCAGATGTTGATCAGCTGGGGAAAATTTTTGAGTAAGTATATCTATCATATGGCCTAATTATGGGGAGACGGGGTGAATATTTACCTATTTCCCATCCCTCCGATGGCTGCCAACCGACAGCCAGGAAAACAGGGGAAGATGCTTGAATAGTTGAACTGGAGAGGCAGGCACTCATGATGATTATCACCCCCGCAGCGTTGTCGGGGTACCTTCGGTGGAGGACTGGCCCCAGGAAGTGGCTCTGCCACAGACTGCTTTCACATCCCGGCACCCGAAGCCCATAGAGGACTTGGTCCCAGACATGGACGAGCAAGGACGGGCCCTCTTAATGGTGGGTGGTACGAGCCTCTACGAGCTTCGAATGGATAAACCATACGATACATTCCAACCATACATTTTTCAGTTATACATTCATTGATCAATCTTCTCATGTGGTCCTCTTTGTATTTCCTCTCTCCCACCTGCAGCAATTCCTCGCCTTCAATTCCTCCAGGAGGATATCTGCCTTCGTTGCGCTCAGCCACCCCTACTTTCAAAGTGTGGACAGCCTCAGTAGGAGTGTGTACGCGGCGCAGCCGATCCCGAGCAACAAGCCCACTATGGAGGAGAGGACTGCCTGACTGTCCTCCTTCACCCTTAATCATCCGTGCAGCGTCTATAAAAAGTATTCCGCGCACCCCGCCCTGGTCTGTTTTTCCAGATTTATTGTTTTTACAACGTTAAATCAAAGTGTGTTAATAAAGCTTTTTTTTTGGCACTGATGTACAGATAAATCCTACATGTCCAATTGAGAATAAATAGTTCAGATAGATGTCATTTAAGTGCAAATGTACAAAATTGACGCATCTTGCAGGCTTAAATCTATATGATTACATCTTTTCACATGCTGCTTTGCGTGCGGCCTCGTGCTGAGCGTAACTGAGCAGCAATTTTCAAGTTCTTAAACAAATTATGTCTGGATTCATCAGCATCGGGCCTAAGATTGTTGGTGATGAAGCTCGGTCTTGGCCTCATCCCACAATGGAGCCTTCTGATCCCAAATGCCTTTGTGCAGGGAAAAGCCTCCAGGCAGCAGTTTCTGTAGAGTGGAGGTCTCCCATCTCAGTGAGGGGACCTTGTACCTTCTTCAGGGCCCTCTGACGTCACTGTGGCCTTTTGGCCTCTGCGCAGAGAACCGTTACTTTTTGAGGACGACCTGCTCTACACAGATGTATACATTATACTTAAGTGCCTTCTCCTTTTACTGGTACCGTAGCTCAATTTTTCTTTTATAACCTCGTTGTAGATTGGTCCGAGGTTTAGCTCTGCAGAAACGTTTAAATCCATTTTTAGAGATTTGTTTTCTCTACATCTTTAAAAGTGACTTGTTTTTTTACAATGATCAGTGTCAAAGAAAAGCTTAATCAACACAGAACGACATGAACCGAGGGGGGCGCACACTTTTTTTTTTTATAGCGGACGCACACCTGAAGAGAGGGTAACGATAGTGTCAAGAAAGACGACACCAGCGCTCCCACCCACTGAAAAATGCACAAAAGCTATCCTCCTTCCATGAACTGATGGATTGTAATTGCTGCTTTTAGGTTGTTGAGGATTGACTGTGTTAACAATGAAAAAGACTTGCATCTCACGTCGACTGGTAGTCGTGGGCGAGCAGACTGCCGAGGCCATGAAGCAGAGGCCTCCTCATGACCAGTGTTTAGACCCCCCCCCCGCCCTTTCCTCCCTGTTGACTGGGGGACCGGACCACACAGGACTCTGGACTTTCTGCCTGCTGTGGGTGTGTGCGCAGAGCAGTACAAGATATGTACCAATGCATTTTAGAGTGTGCACTACCACTGACGTTGGCACGCATATGTACACACCCACTTATCGAGACCCCTCACTGCCATGTTGTGTCTATCATTCCAGTCCTGTGCACGGCCCATAGTGCCGCCACCTTGAGGATGTCCCGAGTAGCAACAGACCAGTAGCGGGATTCTAATGGTTTCTGCACTCTCCTGGGAACCAACGGGCTGATATCGGTGCTGAGACAAGAATGAAAGAATAGAAACGCTCCTGCCACTCACTAGTTTGCCATCATGGGTTTTATCATTATAAGATACAATTATTTACTATTCGAATGTTACAGTAATGCACAGGCTTGCAATAGGTGGAGAAAGTCCCACCAGCACTATTTGACACAGAATAGTGTCGCCAATCTTGTGTATTTAATTTAAATTTTATTGACAAGTCTTATATGCTTGTTTTTTAATCAAGTTGTTACTTGATTTAAAGATGCTGTGGCATAGAATGTTATTACACCAACTGTTTAAACAATTCTAGAATTTGTGTAAGAATAGTTTTGACAGTGTAAGAAATGTATAAAGGATTGGCAGTGGTACTGTACAGTATAGAGAGCTAAACTTTTGATATGCGCATCGTCAGCCTATAGAAATGTCATAAAAATGGATAGATGTAGGGTAGAGAGGGTCTGCGGAATGTTGTTTGGCAAGACTATTTTGGCCCAGTGAAAATCTTTTGTGGCCTCTGTGGGTGCATGTTGCATTTCATCTGCTTTGGATTGAAGCTTTTGATCATGAAATAATGCACAAATATTTAGTGTACAGTTTGTGCTTATTTTCCGGTCCTGTCCAGTTGCATTCAAGTTCAGTTATTTTTTACCAGAAAGGAAAAAGCAAGTAATGCAGAGTTGTATTTTTGTATGTAGTAGTTCTTTCACAGAACAGTAACATATTTTAACACTGGTTTACATTCTCTTAACAGGTAGTGCTGCTAGCGCACAAACACACAGACACACACTCTGACTTTCTCAGGTTTCCGGTATGGTTGTCCGAACCTCTCGGGCACAGTTTGCACATCTCTGGGCTACTAACTGACCACATCACAAAACTCCTTCAGGTTTTCTTTTTTCGAGCTGTTCCATGATCATGTCATTGATCACAGTCTACTGTCATTGCTATTTATCAATTATATGTTACTGTAGTCATTACTGTCTGAAGATAGCTGCCTGTATTTTCCCACCAGAAACTTGTAATTGCTAGACGGTCCATCACAATGTTGGTTCATGTATAATTGTGTGTGAAATGTTTGGTAACGATTCACATCTGTTGTCCGGGATGCGCACAATGCACAATGTGTTATTGAAAACAATGACTGTTAACACATTTCAATCTCAGAACACCGAACTGAAGTCAACTGTTGAGCTTTCAAACTTGAACTTTTTTTTAAACCAACGTGGCTTCATCCTCCGTACAACTCAAATGACACATTATGTTACTGTGACATATTTCTTATTAGCATACGGAAATGGCAACTGGGAACAACACAATCATGGAATTATACTCATGTATGAATGCAGGCATTGGTGTATTGTTATTGTGTTGCACCAGTTGAATAAAAAGCAGCTTTTTGTGAGAATTGTTTGGTGTCCTTTGAAAGTGTCATGGACATATTAATTAATCGTCCCTGTGAATGTCTAGGTCATTCTATTTTTAAATGAGGGAACAGAGGCAACGCAATTTTTATTTAATATTGGCAGGACAGTTTTAATACATTAAAAAAAAAGAATCATTTTATTGTATTTAAAAACTAGAACATTTACGGTGAAGGAGCATACTACTCGCGATGCTTGTAGATATTTTGATAAAACTCCATACCAGCAGGTGGGAGTATTTCACCATTTCTTGTCCAAAAATGAAATGCAGAAAAACAGTCGTCAGCTTCCATGTAACGTTACGTTAAGTCTGATGCGGCTAGCTCAATGTTAGCACGGTAGCAGTCATGGTTGCCCTCTCCCTTGGATATTTCCCCCATCACTAACTCAACATGGGCAAGAGAGACAATCGAGTGGTGAGTCCTGTCACACGATTCTGGCAATTCGATAAACCATTGATGCACGCTTATGTTTAGAAAGATGCTAAGCTAACCACAACACGAGCCTGGCGTTAGCACAGTGGCTAGCTGTTAACACGTTAAGGTATTTTGATGCTAGCTAGGCATACACATTGGTCTCTTAACGTTTGCACCAGGGTGAACGTAGCCCTGACTGATTTAAAAAAAAACACACACCATGTTTTTCTTTGTACGAAACGTTAAACCTTAAGAGTTTTTAAGTGTGAATTGCTTGGTGCATCGCGCTGAAGCCGACGGCCCAGAGCCGAGCCTCCGTCCACTCGTACGTTAGTGGTCGCAACGCTGCTAAAGCTAGTTAGCTCCGTTTCCTCCATGTCCTTTAGTAGTGATGCTTTTTCCTGCGTAGAGTTTGGGTGTTGTCGTTGTTTCCAGATTCTTTATACGGACTGGACACTGTTAAATTATTGAGATGTAACTTTATGTTTGGCCTAAACGTCACATTGTTTACTCGTGGCCAATGTACTGCTTTTTATCACTGAAACGTTCTCCTCTGTGCAGGCTTACATTAACCCCATCGCCGCGTCACGCGCACGGGGACCGGCAAGTAACGCCGGACCAACTATACAAGATTATTTGAGCAGACCTCGACCAACATGGTGAGTAAAGGGCAGACCTCCTCGCTGTCCCCTCGTCCATGTCTGAGATACAAGTGTCCCTCTCAGAGAGGTTTCATCCTTTTTATGATCGGTGGATTTGATCACAGAGGGCTCCTCTGATGTGCGTAAACTTGGGTTCACATTCACCCATCAAACATTCCAGGCATATTTTATTTGCAATAATTAAATGCTGTGCGTGAATCCATTTTAATGAATTGTTATTAAAAAAAATACATGCCCGGTATTGCAAAATTATTTAATTACTGACTCGTCGGTTTGCTGTGAATTCTCGCTGATGCAGCGAATTGTTAACTGGAGAGATGAAAAGCTGCAGCGGACGAGCACCGTTTGCCAGATATAGTTCTCTCCAATATGGACTGAAAATCTTCGTTATGAATTCTATTTCAACGGATGTATTGTCCGTTGTTCAGGGAAGAGTTAAAGGAGCAGCTGGAGAAGAAGAAGAAGGGCTCCCGAGCCTTGGCTGACTTTGAAGACAAAATGAACGTGGTAGGTTTTGACTAAAATTTCCCCATATTTTTCCATCTAGTGTCACGTTCTGAAAGTGTTACACCACAAAAAAAACATTCTCTATGTTTGGATAAAGGTGTAGATGCAAATATACAATCTGTGCTGTTTTCAGAAATGGAGGAAAGAACTGGCAAAGAACAGAGAGAAGCTGTTAGCCGGGAGTGACAAAGAGAAAGACAAAAAGACAACGGAAAAGGAAAAAGAAAAGGAGGAGAAGAAAGAGAAAAAAGAGGTACGGTATTCCACCTTCAGACAGTGGAATGACCTCACTCTCTAAATCATCATCATCTTTTTCTCACTTTGTCTTCTCATTTGTTCTCAGAAAAAAAAGAAAGACAAGAAGAAATCCAACAGGGTGAGGAGAGACCTCCAGTATTTTGATGGCCAGCTTTACTACAACACACACACACACACACAGTCTGCTTGACCTCTGAGACGGTCTCTCATTCAGTTTCATTTCTGAAACAAGCAAATAACCCTTCAAATCTAATGAACCCTGCTTTTATTGTGTTTTGGTCAAGCATTCTTCATCTTCCTCCTCCTCATCGAGTTCTGATTCCCCTAGCAGCTTCCTTACAGAGTCCGAAGAGGTAAGTCTTTGCCGACTTCAACGTGCACTATAGGGAGAAAAATACATTTTGTTGTTAAGCAGCGTGGGGGTCCTGAAACCGGCACAAAAAGAGCTGCTCCCCTGCTGGATGTCAGTAATTAGACTTGATTTGATGCATTTTGTTACTGCCTGTTTTTCCATTGAAGGTACATTCTAGTAACAGCTATACAGAAATATATTGACTCTTTATAGCTCGAACTGATCAGTTTGAAAAATATGGTGATCTGTTTCTTGAGCTTTTTTTTTTTTGCTCAATCGGCTCAAAATCACTATTAATGATAAGCTGTATATGATTATTGGAGCACTGTTTGATTGCTTTTGCATTCGTGTGTCCAGGATGAGAAGAAGAGTGTGAAAAAAAAGCGGAAGAGAAAGAAGTCATCAGCCAGGAGAGCGTCGGACAGCTCGGAGGGAGAGTCTGATGCTGAAATCAAGGTTTTTCTCTTCTAACAGTCCAGTAGAATCAGGCTCCAGTGTTGATAAAATGGGAAATTTAAAAATCTATTTTTTTGGAAGCCAGTGTTTAATCAAATTATTGTTGCTTTTCCCCCCCAAGAAGAAAAAGAAAAGAATAAAAGAAGAGGGGGACAAAGATAAGGTAATTTATTATAATTCTGTAACACACCTCAACTTTAAAATGGTAATTTAAAAAACAGTTTCAATATGATACCGATGTATTTTTTTATGACCTACATAAGTTAACAAAACCATGGACGAGAAAATTGGCTATTTCTATATAGTTCTTCTCAGTGCTTCTCGGTGCTTGTCGGCACCGCCGGCGTGGATTCTGCACGGATGTCGGTTCTAATGGTGCAGGTTCAGCACGTACTCTTTACTTTTTAGCTCAGCCTCTGAATTACTCAGAAACTCTATTGCTTTTGACACCAGGGACCGCCACAATCAACAAAAAATGAAAGCGTATCGTAGGACATTTTTGGTGGTGTTAGTTTTTGTACTTTGTATACAGACATGTGAACCTTTTATATAAAAACATCTTTCCTTTTGCTTTTGCCAAATCAATTTCAATCATTTAAATCAAATAGAGTAAAATGCTTGTTTTAAAGCTTTCGTGATTGTGATGCAAATCTTTTGTCTTGTCAGGATGACACGAGTCGTAAAAGAAAAAGGAAGGCTGAGCGAAGTTATAAAGACTCATCATCAGAGTCCTCTGCAGATTCTGAAGGGGAAGAGGGAGTAAGTATTTTTCGATTCAACACATCTTTCATCACATGTAACTGTTGCAATTTTAGTTTTTAACCAATTCCACTTATGAATAAACAAGTCATTACAAAATCCTTCTGACTCCCAGTAGACCTTCAGTGATAAACTTCTCACCTACTCTCTCCTGGTTCCTCTTTTAGTTCTTCATTCCTCTTTCTTTAATTTGAGTGGAAGGAAATTATCTTTACAATCACTCACGTTCTGAAAGTGTTCAACCACAAAAAACATTCTCTGTTTGGATGAAGGTGTAGATGCAAATCTAGAATCTGTGCTGTTTTCAGAAAGAGAGGAACGAACTGGCAAAAAACAAGAGAGAAGCTGTTAGCTGGAAGTGACAAGTATCCGTGTGATACCTGGTGCTACTAAAATCTGTTCATCAGTTTGACATTTTTGGCAGCTATTATAAACTTCCGTTGGTTATTGAGTAAAGGATAACAAGCCGTTCTAGCTTTGCTCAACAATAAACTTTATATTTTACCCCGGTCATAAATATATAACGTTTAGTATATCAGCACAGTCCTTTGGACAATCCAACATTGTTCGTAGCGATCTGATGACACTGGGTGTTGTATGAATAGTTGACCAGTTGGTGTTTATTTCCTGTTCTGCACACAAGGCTTCTGAATTGGATCCATCAGTATGAGACGGATCCCAGATAAATCTCCCTTATGCAGAGTAGTTGTGTAAGCCTGACGGCTTCACCATACACCTACACAAAGTTGTATTACACAAGGTTTCCCCGCATGCTAGCTCACACACTCGTCCAGATGTGCACGCTTTCTGTCTGTCACGTTTCATTGGGAAGTCTGATAAACGGTAATTAAAACAAAGGGAAAAACATTGCTTTATATTAATACTGCTTTCAAAGCATGGGTGAGTAAATGGATCAAATGTCAATTTGTTTTTTCCTGTCAAGCCGGTTATTAGATGAGAATTATTGTAAATCTGAACTAAACACTACTAACCAAAGGAAGGAGGCGAACATACAATGAACTGAGCCTGCTAGACAGTTTTATTCAAACGGGAAAGAGGAAACAATTCTTTCAGTGGCAGTGGCTTGTACATTCCATAGTTGTGAAACAATGTTGTTGCATTAAGGGACTTTTCATGTTGGGATGAGACATCCCTCAATTCATAATCTCATTTCAACTTTCCCACCAATAGCCCGACGCCAAGAAGAAAAAGAGAAGTAGCGAGGAAAAGGAGAAAATAACGGTGAGAAATCCACTTCTTTACAGTTCACGAGGGAGATTTTGGTTTGATGGAGTACAAATCATGACAACAATGAATGATTAGACACAAACATCCAATGTTTTACGTCCACAGGACAAATCCAAGAAGAAAAGGAAAAAGAAGCACAAGAAGCACAGCAGGAAAAAGAAAAAAGAAGGCAGCGTCTCAGTTGGACTCTGAGCGTCGTTACGGTTCTCTCGTCCTCCTGGCGGTTCACAAGTAGTGTTATATTGCTTTACCTAAAAAAGAAAGAAGCATCCAGCGCTGTTCCTCTTGCTTCAGCGAGAGGCAGGCAGACCCGTGATGCTGTGGTTCTGAGGGGGCAGTTAAATAGAGGAAGCCACGCGTCCCTCTAAGTGGCAACTACCGGTACATGTCTTCTGTTGATTTCTCTACCACCAATGGGTTTTTTTTTCGTTGCTTGTTAGTAGTGGTTCCTTCTACCATGGTACTGATGTTAACTCCTTCACCCCTCATCTTTTGAGATCACAATGTGAATGGCACCTGTTTTCGTCTTCGCACGTGTTGGCCCTCTCGGAGCGTCTCTCTCCGCCTAATACCCGACGTCTTGCGTTCCCGATGTGCCGGATGAGGCTGCCTCGCGTGCATGTAGACCAGACCTGACCTGATGCCTCGCCAGCCTCATATTGAAGTTGGACTTATGATATGAAATGTGAGCTCCACATTCAAACATGGGATAATTGTTTTCTGATAGACCGATTGTTGCAGTGTAAATGTATAAACAATGTCATTAATTAATAAAGTATTGTTTTAGCTTTCAGTGCTGTTAATTAGTCAGAACCTTTATCTATAGGGGTGTGTGTGTGTGTGTGTGTGTGTGTGTGTGTGTGTGTGTGTGTGTGTGTGTGTGTGTGTGTGTGTGTGTGTGTGTGTGTGTGTGTGTGTGTGTGTGTGTGTGTGTGTGTGTGTGTGTGTGTGTGTGTGTGTGTGTGTGTGTGGTCACCCTGCCCACTAAATACAAACACACGTATGCAGTTTCACTTCTTTCAACTTGAACTGAGGTCTGCAGTTCACACATGAAGTATAATGTAAACCTGCGCCACTTAAGTACACTTAATGATGTTCGAGAATCAGTATAGCATAACAATATGTCCATAGTTGAGAGTTGTAGACACAATCTGTTACAGTAGATTACAGATCTATTTGTGTATCTAATGTACAATTGTTTTTCACACAGGATACGGCCTGCATTCATCAATTAGTGGAGAAAGTACTCGGATCACTGCGATACAAATGCATTTGAAACTTAAGTAAACAGGTGTCATCAACGTGTAACTTTAATGTAAATTATGAGATTGTCTTCTATTCCTCAAATGTTTTCAGTAGAGTACTCCTAATATGAATAGACATATGCCGGTTTCCTTCCCATTCCAGGCCGTATCATCATCATCCATAATCCTGGCCGAATCTATTGCATGGGTTACATTTGATTTGCTGGAAAAGCTAAGACATCTTGGGAGATTATTTCCAATGCATTGACATTTAAACAGCATCTCGATGTAGGTGATGTAGGTGACGAAGGTGGAGCTCACTTCTCTTGCAGGCGGAGGGTTATCAGCTGAGTGGAAACACCTGAGCTGCTCAGCAACGAGCCCACTGCCACTTGAAGCTGGCAAAATGGCAAATCTTTTTCTTTTCGTTTTTCTTCCCCTTTGTCTGCGAAAGTCTCACTCTCTTCATGGCCGTGCAAACTGGTATATAATATACTATACATATACTATAAATTGTTGTGTACAAATTGCTGATGTGAAGACTTATAAATTGTTCAGTTCTTTAGCTTGACTGGATTCTTCAACTGCGTTGATGCAGAACATTGTTTAATAATGTAATTTGCTTGGCTTGCTCATTGAGTGAACGTAACGGTTGATGTGGTTTGAGATATTTAAAGTACGTACTTTTTTTAAAAATACATGTAGCATGAATACCTCTGTGAGGTTTTACAGACCGGTCTTGTGCTTCTCACCAGTTTAGTCTCGACGGTCACTTTGAGTCCTTCATTCCCTACATTGACATTGTAAAACCTTTTTTAAACACTATACATGTGAATAAACCACTTCCCAAAACTGAACGGCCATTTACAGGACACGGAGGGTGTTTGACTTCCACTCAGTTCAGAGGGAGTGTCTGAGCCGCCTTTTATAAAGCGGTGCGTCTGCGGGTTGTTTCAGACAAAGTCTGACGAAGGGCGGTGAGCTGTTGAATCACTTGACCTGCAAGGTAAGTGATTTCTTTTATCCCATATCATCAATTGACATAGTTGCGTCTACAGTTCTTTATAATCTGCAACAACTTCTATCCGTACATTTCTCTGATGTTGTGAGTGAAAGGAAGATAATCTGTTCAGGCTGAAATGAAACTGAAACTTGAATGTAAAAGTTTCACAACCTGATTTATGAACTGCAAAGATTCTGCGATTAGTTTTTCCCAACACTTAACATAACGTATCATTACAACAAAGTTTGTATTTTTTGCAGATGTTGGGAGTGACTCTGTGGTTGTTGGGAGTATTTGTGTGTGCCTCCTGTGCCGTCACATGCCCGGATGGGACCACGTGTTCTAATCTCAACACCTGCTGTATGACTAAACGCGGCTACAGCTGCTGTCATTACCCAAACGTAAGTCTCTCACCAGCGTTTCATGAGCTCCTCCAAGCTGATCACATCATCCAGTGCGCACGCCCCACCTTCTCATCTCTGCCCATAGGCCGTGTGTTGCTCTGACTTGGCCCACTGCTGCCCTTCAGGGTTCCGCTGTAACACGTCTACCCAGATGTGTGAGCGAAAGCCGTGGACGATGATTACACCCATGGTGAAGAAGCAGGCTGCAGAGAAATCTGACACTCTTGTTCTACCGGTTTCTCCCCTTCGGGAGCCCGTGAAGAACCAGGTGGCAGACCCGAAAACGAGCTCAGTTGTTCACTGTGACAACTATTACACGTGTCCTGATGCCACTACTTGCTGCAGACACCCAGCGGGTACTTGGTTCTGTTGCCCGTACTCTCCTGTGAGTCTTTGGCAGTAACTGCTACGATCCACTTTTAACATGACTAGCGTGGTCTTTAAACCATTTCTTTTTTTTGGGCACGTAGCAGTTGATCATGTAATAACTTGTACATTGCAGGGAAGGTGTTGTCTGGATGGCTTCCACTGTTGCCCTTATGGCTATGACTGTGACCTCACGTACACGCACTGTGTGAGACGAGGCCTGCGGTATCCTTTCAGCCCCAACAAAAGTGTGCCATCAGTGCCGGCCTCTCTCATTTTGCCTTCAGAGGAAAAAAGCCGCTTGCAAGAGGTAGGAAACACCATGAATGTCTGGACTGTGAGGCGGATTCTGCAATTGGTTGTCTGAATGCCCATTCAGTTTTATTTTTAAAAGTTCTCACACACATTTTTAACATACGCGGCGGGATCATTAATGAAAACCACATTTTCAGACAAACGGCACTTTGCATTCTGGCTGCATTTAGGAAAAGGGTCCATCTTTCCATGCAGGATTTAGCATCTAACTCAAAATGTCACATCAACAGCGGTGGGTTTGATGGCTTATGTTTGCATTCCTCTCACTATAACATTTAATCAAGGTACACCTACAATTTGTTAAACTCTTTACAATACCTTTCCCCCCTCATTTTCAGTGCTGTAATAAAATATCTAACAATTCATTGAATGACTGTGTATATTCACATTCCCTTGTCATGACAAATCTACAGTGAATTAATTATTGCAATGCGTTTACCTTTTTGCAGACACCCATGACTGCTCTGACAGAAGCAAATGGTGTCGTCGCCGTGGATGGCGTCATTCGCTGCGATTCATCGTTCTACTGCGCAGCAGGAACAACTTGCTGCAAAGCACCTACAGGCCGATGGAACTGCTGTCCCTACCCACTGGTATGAACTGGCCATGCATTTTTCATTGATGGGAAGGAAGACCTATTTGATAAAAAGTGCTTAGACAAACAGTATTGTAGAGGATTCAATAAAGTACTTTTTTAATGTGTATATATATCAATTTATTTTGCTGCAGGGCCAGTGTTGTGCAGATGGGCGACACTGCTGTCAGTATGGTTATGCATGTGACTCCACCTCCCTGTCATGTAAAAGCGGCTACTCTCAGATCCCATCAGGAGCCCAAGAAGCCGCCAAAACCGACTGAGGAAGTTATTTTATTTTTTTCTGCACCAGGACAGCAGTCTAATGAATGATGTACTTAATAAACAATAGATCTCCATGGTTGTTGGTTTTTTTATGATTAATTTACTGTCCTGACTTCTCACGTGGGATGCTATTTACACTTTTTTTTGTGTTTTTGTTTCTATTCAGCAGTTTAGCAAGATTCCCTTCAGCATGTTGAAGCCCACCCATTTCTTTGAGTAAGGAACAATGTAAACTGTTGAATCTGAGATTGAGAAGTCACAACGAACGGTGTGCTGACCACAAATCCTGATTCATTCTTTCAATAAAAATAAATAAATAAATGTGACTTATTTAAAAAAACAAAAAAAACAAACGGAACTTTTCTGTTCACATCCGGCAGGACTACTTCCGTGGCTCGCGGCTGGTTCACGTGTGTTTCCGGGTGGAGGTGAGGGGTTTTCAAACGGGGGGGAAACGATGAGCCGAATCCAGGACCTGAAGGTGTTCGTCTCCGAGCGGCTCCGCGCCGCCGCCTCCGAAATATTCGGTGCCGTTGAGAAAACGATAACCGACTACGAGGAGAAGTGCGCCCGTTTGAAGGAGGAGAACGACCGTAACCGCTCCCTGTTGGACATCATTCTCAAGACGAAATCACACAAGGAAGGTGGGTTTTGTGGTGGAGCGAGTCGCGCGGTTTCGCGGCGTCGTTTGCGCCGGTTGACCTGAAGTGCCTTGCTGTTAAAACGGAGGTACGACGCGGCGAATGACGTCAGCTAACGTTAACTTTTAATCCTTCTGACGTTAGCTGAGAGGTGGCCACGTTAACGCGCGCGCGCTAGCTAGCTCAATGTCGGTCATTGGGCCTCAGCGAACACACATTTAATAGGAACGTTATAACGTCATCTTTCAGAGTTTCCCCTCAGGTAACTTGGGGATCAAACTATCGCCGCTGTTCAGGTTATTTGAACTGGCCGCTTGCTAAATGTCACATGCCAGCCGCGGCAACACCATGGAGTAAAATAATAATAAAGGCATTACGCATATTTTAGGCTTCCACCTGACTACACATTTGCATATGAACTAGATCCCATGTTGCTATGGCAATATTCTCTGTGTATGCTCTTTTTATGAGGCCAGTGTTTTGCACACCTCAACAGGCCGGCTACTCTTAACACCGTTAACACTGGCTGAGATCCAAAGGAGGCCGGTTCCCCTTTTCACAACGATACCAACTGATCTCAGAACGGAATGTGGCGGCCTTCCGTATGCAAATCCACTGTCCCTTTCTAACTTTATGGAGAATTTAAGCACAACACGGGGACATGGAAGCAGCACAGCCTCTTAAATAAAGGGGTCTTTTATTATTCCAGCAATTTCTTTTCTTTGGCTAAATGTGAGACTTTAGAAAAGACTATTAAAGGATTCTCTATTTGCTCATGTAGCCCATAACTGGTTATTTGGCCAATGTTTTGTCAACCTACCGCAGCCAGTCTGGCTAATCAATGGTAACAATGCATGTCCCCTGACTCATTTCATTAAGGAAATGGGTTTATTTTTTCTAGCGTGCGCGGTCAACACACTTGTCCCTCTCTCTAGTTTCAGCGTGGCCTTACCTCTCTTAGTCACGACATGTTCTGAATATATGAACGTGTGCTGTCACTCTCAGTGATCGCGTGTGCCACTCACGAACGGGATGGCCGTCCGATTCAATGCTTCACACTTGTCCACCAACATAAATATGATTTATAACAGGGTATTTTCCCCTCTTGATCTCATTAAAACGTTTTTGTTATGACTAATATTGCTACATTTTCCGACATGGCTTGAGTCTTCAGTGGCAAGTCGTAAAAGTCACAAATTTACTGGGGATTTGCATATGAATGCGAAGGCGCGTCCACGCCAGGGTGGATGCCAGTCCTGACTGCGGTTCGTGCCGTTCTGAGATCGGAACGTGCCACCTGCCACTTCACGATGTCGGCATCACTCTCCAATTTTATGCTTGAAAAAATATGATCCCACTTATTTTAACTGACACAAACGTTTCAATGCCAGAATGAGCATCGTTTTTCTTCTAGCTCGCAGTCATTTCAGTAGGTTTGATGTCAAATAATGTTTTTACTTTTGTGCTTCTCTTTACTCTGCAGTAGCTCAACCTATCAAAAGCACCCCGGGTCCTGCTGCTGCTGCTGCTGCTGCTGCTACAGCTGCTGGTTTTCCAGGTGCATCGCATTTCAGTCCTCCCCGCAAGGCCAGAGACCCGCCACGCAACTCCACTGGTAGGATTTAAGTTTAGCGATTACTTCTCCTCTCAAGTAATGTCAGTTTGTTAAAGTCCTCTGTAAAGCTGAAAGAAAAAACAGGATTGGGTCAAGTTGATTCAAACATGGACACCATTAACCACTATTAGTCACTTAAGTGTAATGTGCTACTTCATGTTGAAAAAACGTGATATTACTGTAAAGTACAAGCTGGTTCGTCATTACTAAAATCACATTGATGTAACGTCATACTGTCATCTGGCTTATGCCTCCATTTAAGGAAGACGGCATGTTCTTCATTCTCTATAAGAACTTTGTTGAAATGTGTCATAACTCTAGTAAATATTATGAAATTCCAAATTACCCCGTAAGGTATTTATATGTTATCCTAATGTATTTTGCAGAATTTCAGTGCTCCTTCACCTCACGCACAGACTTACTGAAGTTTGCCACCGGTGGCGACTGTCGCTTCTGCTTGAAGAAAATTCCAGCCACTGAGAGACATTTGACGAAGAAACATTATCTTTTAGCTGTGAAATTTACTGCAGGTGGCACTGGTAAGTTTTATTACCATTAAAACCAAAGTATGATTCAATTCTACAAACATATTCTTTGAAGCGTGTTGGCGTCTACTGAGTAGGTTATCTTTTCTCTTTTCAGATCGATTTGTTGTACCATGCACGTGCACAGACTTGATCCAGGGCAGAAGTCACTGGCACTGCCCGTATTGCTCGAAGATCATTTATCGGAAATGTAACTTCGAGGTGCACATATCCAAACAACATGGTGTGTAGGATCTCGACAACAAAACAAGATTTTGTTTTAGTATAATTCCTTTGTTTTGTTGTAAAAGCATGTTTAAGTTCTGCTTTAGTGAAAAGCTGCGTGATTCCACTGATAATGATGAGTTAGTTTTATTTTTTTGCACTGACTCGATGTAGTTGACTACACTGTCTTTTCAATTTACAGGTCATGCAATACTGCCCCAAAACTGGGACAAAGGTTAGTTTACTAAATGTCTGATCAAAAGTACATATTACCCTATGAGATTTGAAAAGGATGCTTTGAACAGTGTGACATAACAGTTAATACTGATTTATGATAACAATGTTGTCCTAACTACTTCTCTGATTTAAAATGCTTCACTTTGACAACGGTGTTTGTAGTCATTCAGGGTGATGCAACCTTTTCGTCTGAAAAAAATAGACCCTTTCCTTTTCGTCTCACTCACAATATTCTGGGCTTTCCTTACGGCAGTGACCCACCCCATTTTATTAAAACTACCGGTTTGCATTCACAGCAGCTTAGAAATACATAGTTTGAATTATTGACTAACAGTGGGCTTTCTACCAGTGTAATAAAATATATTTCCCTGTCCTTCGTGTAGACATTGATCAGCCCTCCGTCTCCGCCATTGAAGAGGAGGTTCCCCGGAGTCCTGAACCCTGGTGTAAGCAGGAACATGACAGTCTGGACCAGGAGGACCAGCGGGCCTCACTGTTGCGTGATGTTAAAGAAGAAACGGAAATCTGCACACAAGGTCTGGTCGAAGAGCTTGTCAACTTGACTTGCACTGCGTGTACAAACTTGTGAACAAATAGAAATCTTGTTTTCCCTCTTTTCCACAGTGAGTCATCCCGGGTGGCAGAACTCGGGTGATCTGCAGATTGACGGCGAGCAAATACAAAAAGGTGACATTCGAATGAGTTCGGAGGAACATCGCGCTCGAGACTCTGAATTCAGCGTGGCCTTCCCGGGCGGTTACATTCAAGACCTTAGCGAAATTAACAGCGTGGAAAAAATCAAGGGACATCAGCTTCCCAATTCTTCAAATGACCCACTGGAAACGCTGCCGAACAGTGGGGTTGTGGGAATATGCCAGCCAACTGGGGAATCTCAGCAAAGCGCACCTTGTTTAAAGGCACATAGCATCAAGAGGAAACTGCGTGTGAAGACAAATAAGTCTTTGCTCACCTCGTGTTTGAACCTAAAGACTTCAACTCAGCCCGTCAGTCAGAATCCCACCGGTCCCCATTGTTGCAAAGCATGTGGAAAGACTTTCTATTACATGTACACGCTGAGGACACACGTGCGTACACACGCCGGCGATAAGATCCGTATTTGTGGAATCTGTGGAAGACGTTTGGAGTCTACGGAGAGTTTAGTCCAGCACATTCAGAACCACACCAAGAAGAACAAATGTGGCATCTGTGGCAAACAGTTTTCGAATAATTCCCGTCTGAAGCGGCATCTGCGATTTCACAGACCGAGGGGTCTGAATATCACGTCGTTGACTTAAGTACCATAAATGGTGAAATCTTACAGACGTGGCGAGCGCTTCATACATAATGTGACCAGGCAGGAGACACCGTCCAGGAATGTACCTTTGGGATAGTGCAATCCTTGTTGTGTTGTTCATCTTCTATAACTGTATTACACTGTTTTGTAGTCTTTAATAAAAAAAAAAAAGTTAAAGTTAGATTTCTTCCCTGTGTTTTCAAAGTGAGAGACCGTTACTATAATATATTTTCTGTCTTAATATGCTATTGCCCCAAAAACTGAAAATTATAATAAATCATTTCGAATAGTTTGACAAACCGTTTAATAATATTACACTAAAACCTCCCATATCAGTGACGTCATGTTCAATGAATAATTACTGGAAAGAAAAGCTCCCGAGTTTTGCTTCCAACTTTTCCCGAGTCTGTCGCGCTGCGGGCAGGAAGGAGGCGGGAAGCTCCAGCGGACGGACCGTTTCTCCCGGTGAATTTCCCGTTACTCCCGGTCGAGTTACTGTCAACGTTACTGCCTCCTTTCGGTGTCACGCGGGCGAACATGGCCGTGTTGAAGATACAGGACCAGGTAACGTCAGCCGCCGTTTAACGCCAACTCTTCGGGGGGGGGAGCTGTCACTTTCCGTGAAAACGACCAACGTTAACATTACGTTGCTCTGTCTGTCAAGTGTTCGTAAGTTAAACCTTTAGTCAGCGCCAGCTTGCTGTTCGTTCACCTGAGTTGTTTGCGTTTATTCACGACGGGACGTCGAGCTGGGATTCGTTCAGACGGTTAACGGTTACCCGTCCGGCTAACGTTAACGTTAGCTAACGTCAACAAGTACCGTTAGCTGTTAGCTAGTGTAAACCAGCCTGCTAACTTCACGTCACACTGTTGCCTTACGTTACGCTGCCTCGGTTCGGTTTAAAAAATAATAATAATAAGCAACATCTCGCCTAAAAGCGAAGCCAACGCGTCCGTTTTACCGTTTTCTCCGGTGCTTTCCCGCCGGTTAACGGCGTGGCTAACTTCCATCGATCTGCTAATGCTAATGCTGAGATAAGAAAGGCTGTCAACGCCAAGAAAAACACACAGCAGGGTGAGCTCGACTCTGAGCTCTCCAGCTGTGGTCGCGAAGTAGAAGGTTTCTAAGAGGTTCAATCAGTTCTTGTCAACACTGCAGGGACCTAAAGGGAGCTACACGGGGGACACTTGAGTGGACACATGCTTCAGTGGACACATGCTTCGGTGACAAAAGGAGGATTAAAGCATTGTTGTTTCAGGGGGGTTGTTTGATTCACCCCCCCCATCCCCTCAGCTGCTATTCACATTTGCAATGTTTGTATTCATTAAACAAGTAGTGAATGCAGATGTTTCGTGATTGTTATTCAAATACTCAAAGCTACTTTAGGCTCTGGTGACTTGAATACATAGTCGTCAGGTCTTCCACTAACTTTTAATTGAATATGATTATCAAATAATAAAATAAAAACAGCTTTTTATTTGCACCAAATTAACTCATTACAGTAAACAAATGCTCGGAAATACAAATCCTGATGGTTCCGAATTGGTTTAAATGGTTATAGTAAGACATTTTGTGGATCCCGGTAACAATATGAACTTCGGTCCTATTGGGGCAGTGCAGCTGTGTGGTCTGAACAGCCTTCCTGACACGCCGGCAAAATACGGAAGAGTGTATATGATTAGATCCCCCCCTCTCTATTCTCCATTGTTCTTTGTAGTGCCTGCTGACAGAGAAATCGGCCGAGGGACAAAAATAGTCCCACTTAGAGGGACAGGGGTGAGTGTCCCTTTTCGGCAAAAATGTCTGTTCATCCTCTAGAGGGCATCCTGTACCTTTTAAAAAAAAATATATTTTTAAATCCCCAGTGTCCTGACCACGCGGTGGTTGACTAAAGAGAGTGACTGTATTTAGAGGCATTTAAGAGAACGCAACCCACAAAAGCAGAAAGTCAAGCACCCGGTGGCGCTTTGTGGTTTTGTTTGTGTATACTTGCCAAGGGCTCCTCCGATGGGTCCACACTGCGTACATCAGCTATACACTGGTGATGTGGGAAATTAGCCCACGGACAACGTAACATCTTGCTGGTGCACAAGTGGAATGTGCAAATTATACACTGAACATCTGCAGCGGCTCAGAAAGGCAGAGCAGGTTGTTCAATCCATGGCTGCTTCAGTCATGATGCCGTAGTTTCCCTTGGGAAAGATACTGAACCAGGCCGAACTCTGGTTGTGGACGAGCGTTCGTTTACTCCCTGATGAGCAGACCGTGTAGGGCGAGCTTCTGCAGTCAGTGTTTGAACCTCTGTGTGAACGAGAGAATGTTGCCGTGCAACGTTCAAACTTCTACTCGTGTCGTGTGACCTTAACACACTCTTCATAGCAGAGCGCATGTGATACCAGGACAACAAAGCTGGTCCCCCACCCGTGACTTTAGAGGCTGTTTTACATCTAGATGTGTCAGCGTCCCATAGAAGCATGTCACGAAATGGATTTTTCAGGTTTTGTGTGTGTTTGTGTGGTGGTCACTTCTTAGTGCAGGTTACCCCCCCCCCCCCTTATCTGCCCTTTTACGCGACTTAGAATTACGCAGATTAAAAGAATATGCATTTGCTGAGATATCTGAGTTACTGCTCTTTCATTCACCCTACGTGCACGTTGAGGTGTCGCGTCGCTGTCGCTGCTGCTGTTGCATAGCAACCTGCCGGGGTCACAGCTGCTGGAGGATGTGCTCAGTTTGGCCGAATTAGATTCACTTTGTCAGGAACAGTAAAAGTCTGTGTTTGTGATTTTATGTGTTTTTACTTTGTGCAACAATAACATCCGTCCTGCTGAGATAAATAAAGAAATAATCCAAAATGCTAAATTTAGGTCACGTCTCCGAGTAGCAAACAGTCCGAATGTTTTAACTCAAATACAAACCAAAGTAGGAAAGAGGAAAACACCTTTTTAACTTTATACATGGGATCAATGTCGTCTTATTTATCCCCCAGAACCCTGAACATGTGAACGTGAACACGTGAACATGTGAACACTGTTGGCACAGCTGATGAACACATGCGTGTGATGAATGATTATGATTAAACGTGGGTGGTTCCGTGATTTATGAACGCTGATGTAATCAAATGCTTCACAGTTTACACGCGTGTACATTACTGGTTCGACGCGCTGCGGCGAGGCATCAAAGGCCGGCAGCCATTTTTCACC